TTGGCCGCCATGGCTGCCTGCCGCCATGGCCAGACCCATCCCCTACCTACAGCCTTCACGCGCGCGCATCCCCTCCCCCCTCCGCATGGACTGCGACTGGACCACCACGAGCTCCATCGCCGGTGGCCAGGCGCTCCCTTGCCGGCCGCCATGGCCGGATCCACCCTGCGCATACAAGTGTTGCAACCGTCACCTAGAATAGTTTCAACAACTGTTGAAAAAAGCTTCAACCATAGACACAGAAAGCTTCAATGGCACTGCACAACAAGAGGAAGCTGCAACCATAGTTGGATTTTGCTACTATCGGCGATTTTTTTGCTACATCCATCAGGCAGAGCTGCGACTTCGTGACGACTACAGCAGCGATTTTGCTGCAACCGTAGTAGGATTTTGCTACTACCATTGAAGGTTTTTGCTACATCCATTTAAGGCGGAGCTGTGACCTCATGAGGGCGGCGACGACGTTTTTGCTGAACCCATAGTTTGATTTTGCTACTACCGGTGAAGTTTTTTTGCTACATCCATTCAAATGGCGTTGATTGACTGGCGACCGTCGTCGACGTAATTCCCTGCAGCGAGCATCAATGGCGAGGGGCGGCGGCAGAGCTACAACCGAGAGCAACAACCGTCGCCGTCAAGAGCTGCAACTGCAAGTGGACCTGTTGCATGGGTCGAGGCAACAATGAGGGCGGGAGGGTGGGGACCGGCGACGAGGACGGCCGGTGAGGTCGGGGTCCGGCGGGCGACGAGGAAGACCGGCGGGGGTGAGGACTGACGATGAGGACGACCACCAGAGGGGACGGAGGCGCGGCGCCGCGCTCCCCGAGCGGGACATGCGGATCCACCCCGACTGCCGGAGGAAGAAGCTGGGGGTGATTTTTTTTTTGCCTGAATCTAACGGTCGCGCAGCTCATATCGAACGGCCTAGCCTGGACCGGCCGAAACTTTCGCCCGGCCCGCCGCCGCCTATAAGCGCTTATAGGATTTTCCCAACCTGCTGTCTCACCCCGACATGGGCCTTGCCCCGCCGCGCGCCCCACCTGGGCTAGTACTATTTGACTAGTCGTCGATTCCAAACTCTTTTTCTTTCTTGACTAGTCGTCTTTTGGCACCTTGATCTAGCAGGATTCTATCCACTCTTCTGATCTTCTGATTCTATCCACTCCTCTGATCTTCTCCCGCGTCCGCAGGTGGTTGAGTAGTTAAAACGATGGACAGATCCTTCATTCTCTCGCAGGTTGGTTGCAAGAAGAGGCGCCACCATAAGAGTGTGCCATTTGTTCCAAAAATAAAACCATAAGAGAGTTACATCCTACCAATTAGCTCTCCAGAGAATCCGAACGGGAGGAGCTAATAATATCCTCGCAGCTACCGATCTGTCCGATCATGGGGACGAGGCGTGCCGCCCTCTGCTTCCTTCTGCTCCTCGTGATCATCTTACACGGAAACCCTACACTCATTTCGGCGGACGGTTCGTAGCCTCCAAATCCCATTTATTTCACTCTGTTACATTACATATGCATGGCCATTTCTTCTTCTGCTGGTTCATTCATGAGAATATGATGAGATCGTGTGAGGCTATGCAAGTTACCTACTGATTCGATGTGTGGACGATCTGTAAATGTGCGCCCGTGTTCTTCAGACGCAGAGGTGTGCAAGTACAGGAATCCGTACGTGCCCTTCTGCCACGGCTGGAGCTGCAAGGCGGAGTGCTGGATCGAGGCCAAAATCTTCAACGCCCGTCTACAGGAGTACAGGTGTATCAGGGGCGGCATCAAGGGCACCTGCTACTGCCTCTTCTGCGGGAACCACATGAGGTTCCTCCACCTCCACTGAAAACATCCCACGACCGTCTCGATATTCACTTCTCCGGCAGGAATTACCCACTAGAAACCGATAATCCCTTGTCTCATAAACCAATTACAACCAGTTTATTAAGATAGCAGCAGCAGATGTAGTACCTACAGTAGTTAAGAACCTAAGATATAGTTAGTCTTAGCAGGTTGGAGATTGAATTCTGTTTTTATTTTTGGCTTCCTAGATGGCTACTACGACTGTGTAATTTCTTGCTTCAATTAATATTATGGATTCTTACAATAAACATAATTACATGATGGTAGCTTCCTAACCGAAATGCTCAGAAATGCTTGAGAGATTCATGCTCGCAAGTGGATGAACTAACAGGTTTCCGCTGGAGTGGGTACATGAAACTACGGATGTCGGTATGTCACATCATAAAAAAAGGATTAATGTCAATTCAAGATTAATCATTTGTGCCTATTGTTTTCCCTCAAAATTATTAACAAATTTTTCGGGTCTATACACTCAAAAGAAAAATCTGATGGCGTTTTTTGATCTCGAAAATTATGAAGTATATAGTATGCAGATGAACATCCTACGTGTAAAACTTAAACCCTCAAACATACATTTCTGGAATTCAAAATATTTGGGTCTTATACTCATGCCCTTGTGATAAAATAAACGTTTCAAAAGCCAGAAGTTAGAGCATCTACAGCCGGGCTCTTCAAACGCCCCCTATATGTCTAGACGGCCGGCATGTTCTATGACCAGTCACAAAAATGTGACCCAAGCACACTTCTCAAACCGGCCATATACGTTCGGCTGACAGGCACCTCTCATATTTAGCCCAAATCTGGGGCGAATACGAGGAGGCCCAGGCGTGCTCAAGCGCATCCACCACACTGGACTGACGTACGGACCCGCGTGGGCAGCGGTTGTTACCTAGCAGTCCGACAAGGACACCGCTCCGGCAAGCCGCCCGAGGTGACAAATCCGGCTATTAAAGCCGGAGGGCGACCCCCGATCGTAGCAATAGTCCCATTTCCCTCCCTTTGGCGCCGCCACCCACCACATCTGCTCATAGCTTGTTGTCTGCTTGTAGCTCTGGCCCGGGAGCAGATAACCATGTACGACGCTCACTCCAGAGCGCCGATTGTAGCTCCTAGAGCAGATCTGGGCCCGATGTGCCACTCGCATTGTAGCTGACCTGCCTCCAGACTCTCCGGTGCATGAGGAGGAGGAGGAGGAGGAATGGGAAGGCGAGGCCGGGTCGGCGCTTCCAGTTGCCAGATTCGGTATGGGCAACACACAAGCAGAGTATGAGGTCGTCCAAGAGGAGGAGGCGGTGGGGCGCGACCAATTCTTCGTGGACATGGAGTCCGACGAAGAGCCGAAGCCGCGGGCGGTGGGGCCAATGACTGGGAGGCATGTTGGTCCGGTAGTGCTGACAATGAGTTCGTCTACATCTCTGATGACGAGTAGTAGGAAAGTTTATTTATGCAGTACTACATAGTTTTTGTGTTGCATGGTGTGGTATGGATTTGAGGTATGAAGTTTGAGGTGTGTGGTTACACCAGACGCAAAATGGGGAGTGACCGGGCCCTCTACGTAGACGCACCCGGACACATCATTGGACGCATTGGGGGCGGATTAGTTAGGTCCGGTTGTAGAAGCTCTCATTTATACCTTACCTCAAAATATCTTCGGCCATCGATTTCTTGGTTCATATTTCAAAGCTTGTTTCTAGCTCAATATGTCTTCGAGGATCGAACATGCCCCTTACTAGGTACTGCCTCTGTAAAGAAATACAAGAGCGTTTAGATCAGTAGTGATCTAAACGCTCTTATATTTGTTTACGGAGGGAGTACTACTTACTACTAGTATTCAGTTGTCGACCACATACTCGTGATACGTCCATTTTGCATCATGCTTTCATATTGATAGTTACTGGATTATGGGTGTTATCACACATTATATCACAATACTTATGCCTATTATTTCTTATTTTGTAAGGTTTACATGAAGAGGGAGAATGCCGGCAGCTGGGATTCTGGACTGGAAAGGAGCAAATATTAGAGACCTATTCTGCACAACTCCAAAAGTCATGAAACTTCACGGAGCATGTTTTTGGAATATATAAAAAATATTGGGTGAAGAAAATACTAGAGGGGGCCCACCAACTAGCCACAAGGGTGGAGGGCGCGCCCTACCCCCTTGGGCGCGCCCCCCGACCTTGTGGGCCCCCTGGCAGGCCTTTGGTGCCCATCTTTGGCTATATGGTGTGTTTTGACCTGGAAAAAAATAGAGAGAAGTTTTTGGAACGAAGCGCCACCATCTCGAGGCGGAACGTGGGCAGAACCAATCTAGGGCTCCGGCGAAGCTGTTCTGTCGGGGAAACATCCCTCTGGGAAGGGGAAATCATCGACATCGTCATCACCATCGATCCTCTCATCGAGAGGGGTTCAACCTCCATTAACATCTTCTCCCGCACCATCTCCTCTCAAACCCTAGTTCATCTCTTGTATTCGATCTTGGTCCCAAAACCTCAGATTGGTACCTGTGGGTTGCTAGTAGTGTTGATTACTCCTTGTAGTTGATGCTAGTTGGTTTATCTGGTGGAAAATTATATTTTCAGATCCTTAATGATAATTAATATTCCTCTGATCTTGATTATGAATATGCTTTGTGAGTAGTTACGTGTGTTCCCGAGGACATGGGAGAAGTCTTGTTATAAGTAATCATGTGAATTTGGTATTCGTTCGATATTTTGATGAGATGTATGTTGTCTCTCCTCTAGTGGTGTCATGTGAACATCGACTACATGACACTTCACCATTATTTGGGCCTAGGGGAAGGCATTGGGAAGTAATAAGTAGATTATGGGTTGCTAGAGTGACAGAAGCTTAAACCCTAGTTTATGTGTTGCTTCGTAAGGGGCTGATTTGAATCCATATGTTTCATGCTATGGTTAGGTTTACCTTAATTCTTCTTTCTTAGTTGCGGATGCTTGCGAGAGGGGTTCATCATAAGTGGGAGGCTTGTCCAAGGAATGACAGCACCCGAGCATCGGTCCACCCACATATCAAATTATCAAAGTAATGAACGCGAATCATATGAGCATGATGAAAACTAACTTGACAATAATTTCCATGTGTCCTCAGGAGTGCTTTGCTTTATATAAGAGTTCGTTCAGGCTTGTCCTTTGCTACAAAAAAGATTGGGCCACCTTGCTGCACCTTAGTTACTTTATTTACTTGTTACTCGTTATGATTTATCTTATCACAAAACTACCTGTTACCGATAATTTCAGTGCTTGCAGAGAATACCTTGCTGAAAATCACTTGTCATTTCCTTCTGCTCCTCGTTGGATTCGACACTCTTACTTATCGAAAGGACTACGATAGATCCCCTATACTTGTGGGTCATCAAGACTCTTTTCTGGCGCCGTTGCCGGGGAGTGAAGAGCCTTCGGTAAATTGGTACGGAAATATTTATATAGTGTGCTGAAATTTACTGTCACTTGTTGCTATGGAAAATAATCCTTCGAGGGGTTTGTTTGAGGTTCGACCGGAACCACAATTAGGTAATCCTCAACCTTCTGCACCTACTGAAAATATTTATTATGAAATTCCTTCGGGTATGATAGAGAAACTGCTAGCTAATCCGTATGCAGGAGATGGAACATTACATCCTGATATGCAACTAATTTATGTGGATGAAGTTTGTGGATTATTTAAGCTTGCGGGTAAGCTCGAGGATGTTGTCAAGAAGAAATTCTTCCCTTTATCTTTGAAGGGAAAGGCATTGACATGGTACAGGCTATTGGATGATATTGGATCATGGAACTACAACCGTTTGAAATTGGAATTTCATCAGAAGTTTTATCCTATGCATCTGGTTCATCGTGATCGGAATTATATATATAATTTTTGGCCTCGTGAAGGAGAAAGTATCGCTCAAGCTTGGGGGAGGCTTAAGTCAATGTTATATTCATGCCCCAATCATGCACGGTCAAGTTTTGGCGACACATCAATCTGTTGGCATATGGTAGCTTTGCCAACACATAACTTGAAGCTAATACATATCCTGACAGAAGATAAAAGAGTCGGAGGACTTGCCGTGGGCAAAGGTATTGCCGACAGAAGTTCACTTGCTGACACTTTTCTAGTTGGCATACACCCTACCTATGGATCTAGGGCTGGAGCTCAGGGGATTGACTACAACGGATTGAGGACGGGGTGGAGTTTGAGGCTGGCGGCGGGGGAGTGCGAGCTCCGGGAAGGCGGATTGAGGACTGTGCGGAGCGCGAGGCCGGCAGCGATGGCGATAGAGGATTGGATCGAGCGCGACAGTGGCGGCAGCAGGCATGGGTTAGGGTTGGGTTAGATTTGGGGTATTTTTCACAAGGGAAGGGCATTTTGCACTTGAGGATTTTTTCCATGAACATGCGAAAATTTCGCTCGCCCGCCGAAATCACGCGCCAGGTTTCTAACCTTCTGATGATTGACATGTGTCCACTTACACTGACAGTTAATCTGAGCGCATAGACCCTACCTACGCCGACACATTTTAGGTCACTAAATACATAGCTGCGTCGACTGAAAAACTGTTAAGGCCAACACATATGCCGACACATAGCACGTCACTAAGCAATTACTGACAGACACGTTGTTGCTTTATGGTTGCTGACACTTAGTGTGTCAATAATGATATACCTTTGCCGACACTTGATATGAAGACAAAAGTTAAAAGCTACGCTGACAGATAGTTTGTGAAGATTAGTTGATCTTTGCCGACAGAAGTGTGTCACCTAAGCTCTACCGTCGTGTAGTGTCAAGAGAAATTATTATTCAAATTTTTTATGCTCGGCTTTCTCATAATGATCGATCCATACTCGATACTTCTTGTATTGGCTCCTATATGAAGAAGGATATTGAATTCAAATGAGATTTATTGGAAAGAATTAAACGCAACTCTAAAGATTGGGAACTCGACGAAGGTAAAGAGTTAGGTATAAACCTTAAGTTTGATTGTGT